ACCTATCCCAACCCACTATATCCAAATGCCATCCGCAAACATCAACAACTACACTCCCTCCCGTTTACCACTCAAACTTCTCCCCATACCTCCCAATAAACCCCCCAACATCCGCATCCCTCTCCCCCCGCGCAATCTCCAACAACGCCACCGCACTCGTCTCCGAACTCTCAATCCCATTCTGTACCCTATTTTCCCTATCGTCCGCTATGTCCGTGACCACGTACCCCGGACAAAACGTCCAGAACTTGAAGCCATCAGGCTTAAGCTGATAGTGCTGGTACGCCGTCAGCATATTCAGCGCTGCTTTACTCATGCGGTACCCTGGGAACCGGACACCAGCATGTTCGTGGCTGTGGTCTGATTTCATGGCGATACTACCCATCGATGAGCTGACGTTTATGACGCGCGGGTTAGGAGATTTTTTGAGGAAGGGGAGGAGAGAGGTAGTGAGGAGGGTGGGTCCGAAGACGTTTGTTTCGAAGATTGTACGCAGGTACTCGCGGTTGGGGGGCCATTGCTCGTCGCGTTCTGGGCAGACGCCTGCGTTGTTGATCAAGACGTCGAGGTGCGGGAAGTCTTGTTCGAGCTTTTTGGTTGCTGAGGAGATGGAGGTGTCGTCTGTGACGTCGAGTTGGATGAGGGATACTGTTCCTTGGATGGGTTTGGATTGGATGTCTTTGAGGACGGTTTCGCCTTTGGACAGGTTGCGTGCGCCGATTATGACGTGGTATTTTGGGGAGGTGGAGACGAAGTGGATTACGGTGTCAAGACCGATGCCGTTTGTTCCGCCTGGAGAGGTTTTGTCAGTACTTCGTCTTTTGGTTTCACGAGGAGATAGATGGATCATACCAGTGACGAGGACGATTTCCTTCCCAGTTTGAGCCGGCATTTTGAATTGGTTTGGTATGTATGTACAATGAATGGGGTTATATGACCGGATAGAAATTGATAGTTTCTTGGGATACTCTATGTTCTTGTATAACAGACAATATTTATACACTTCCCACTTATGGGACGCCTTGTTCGCGTGTTCGGTCCGTTCCAAGTAACCAACACCACTAAGCCTCTATCGTTCATGACGTGTCGGATCTGGCGAAGTCCCAGTCACGAGACATATGCAGTATGTACTCCGGTGTAGGATTTGGTAAAGTCGCAAAATGAGCGGATATAGCCAATACTAAGTCCGACGGAGATAAGGTTGTGGTGGTCACTGTGAGTGCTTGCCGAGACGGCTCGAGTACCTCGCCTACAAGTAGATGCCTTCTGTAAGTACACGTTTTGTAGCTGTTCCGCAATTTCCCATCATTTCAAAGGAATGCTTGCCTGTGGGAAAGAGAGTGCTTATTTCTATTGAATCAATCAGAGCATTTATTAACAGCACCGTTTTCATGTCCTCAAACCATACATACCTGAGTACTAAAATTTATCAAGCGTCTTTGGAAAAGCATATTATCCAGGTCTGGTCTATGGTCATAGGTGCCATAATGGCAGGAATTACTCAGAGATCGGTATGTATCCCCACACAATTATTGCTCAAATTCATATGGAGATGTTTCAATGACTTCAAGCTGCACTGCTTTCATTTTTCGTGCAGGTTCGAGTGTGAGTGCGACCAGTGGTTGGGCCGATGAGCCGCGTGGGGCAACAGAGGCTAGTGTTGCGCAACAAGACGTCATACTCTGTAGTACAACGACATTTATGTCTACGCGCATCTAATACAGCCCACCGAATATCGCATCTCTCCCAGTCAATGCTACGTGTTCGTGCATAGTGCTGCCGAAGAGATGCCTTCCCTTGTTCGAAAGCTGCTCATTTTCGCAGCTGTGGATGGCCTGATCCTGCAACCCTCCCCGCCCCGCAATCATCCGCCCACGACACAACAGGCCATCAAAGTCGACTACAAGGGCAACGTCGGGCCACTACTAAAGGACAGACGCGAGGAAGACACCACACCTATATCTGTCGAGGCACATGGCATAATTGGTATGGGCGCTTGTATGGGCGCATTGCAACGCTCACAAGTTACTAACAAGTCGAATAGGGCTTCTCAAAATCGCGACATCGCACTTCCTAATCTCCATATCCGATCGCGAACAGGTCGCGCAAATACGTGGAAAAGCTGTTTACAAGATTACTGATGTCGCCCTCATTCCCCTCTCTTCCCAGGCCGATGCCGATAAGGCCATTGCAGCCACTCGTGACCATCTGAGGCGTCGCAACAAGTCGCCAGGTGCTGAGGATGAAGATACCGAGAGCGAGGGCGACGAAGATGCGCCCAGTGTGACCGATTCAGTCGTCGGAGATCTACCTCCAGCATCAAATGAAGTCACAGACCCAGTCACTGGGCGAAAAAGTAGTCCTTTACAAAAAACCAGCGTTGCCGAAGATGTCATACAACGGAAAGGTGTATATGGGAGATTTGCTGACAAGTGGTTCTCTCGAAAGGGTTGGAGTGCAGACAACAGGCGTCTGCAAGGATTCACCTCAGAAGAAAATCTGGCCGCCAGGTATGCAAGGCAGGATGCCGATCCAGCCGTGCCGAAAGAGCAACAAGGACCTGAGGGCGAATCAAAACCGGATGCGATCCCGACCGAGGATGAAAACGTACCCCAAGAAGTCAGCCCTACAGCAATACCAAAAGCACTGGGCGGCAAGAATGACGCAGCAACAATAGCATTGTTGCCCAAGATCTTGCAGACGACGAAGATGTACTTTGCATCGGGTAATTTTTTCTATTCATACGACTATGATATTTCGAATGGCATCGGCCAGCAGCAGCCTAGTTCGAGCGTGCCACTCTTCAAACAGTTTGATCCTTTGGTCAGTCAGTATCTCACATACGTTTTGTGCACCCATTGACCTCTTTCCAGTTTTTCTGGAACCAGAACATAATTTCTCCTTTTATTGAGGCCGGTCAGCACTCTTTTGTACTCCCAATTATTCAGGGCTTCGTTGGACAGCGACCTTTCACCCTCAAGACCACAGATTCACAGTCTGGCAGTCTCGTGGTTGATCCAAGCGCAACACCAGACGACATACAATTGCAGCCTTGGTTAGAGAAGCAAAAACAGGAGACACAGCAAGCAGAGGGTGAGAACACCGACATCAGCTCAGAGCAGGACTCTTTCGCCCAAGGCAAAGACTTTTTGTTAACACTCATTTCACGTCGCTCGACCAAGCGCGCTGGACTTCGCTACTTACGTCGTGGCACAGACGATGAGGGCTGCACCGCGAACAGCGTCGAGACTGAGCAGATACTTTCAACTCCAACTTTTGACACGACCAAAGATAAGATATTTTCTTTTACGCAGTTCCGCGGATCCATACCATTGTTCTTTTCTCAGTCGCCATACAGTCTTAAGCCTCAAGTCACTACCTGGGGCTCTTTTGAGACGAATGCACTTGCTTTCAAACGGCACTTTCTTGACCTGTCGTCGCGGTACGGAGATATATACTGTGACTCGTTGATTGACAAACACGGTACGGAGGCGAAGATTGGCGAGCTGTATGAGCAACATGTAAAGGCACTCAACGAGAACGGTGGTATCGACGGAAAAGGCAAACAGCTAGGATTTGAGTGGTTTGACTTCCATAATGTCTGCCGCGGAATGAGGTTTGAGAATGTCTCTAGGCTGATGGACTCGATTGAGCCTTTTATGAAATCGTCGGGTTGGGTTGAGATTGCGGATGATCAAGTACAGCAAAAACAGACTGGCATTTTGCGAACGAACTGCATGGACTGTCTGGACCGCACCAATGTGGTTCAATCAGCTTGTGCTAGAACTGCTCTGGAGGCACAATTGTCCTTGGGCAACTACCACATCGATCTTCAGCACGACCCTAGTACCTCGTGGTTCAATACCCTGTGGGCGGATAATGGCGATGCCATCTCGAGACAATATGCCGGCACAGCTGCGCTTAAGGGCGACTTTACACGAACGCGTAAACGACAGATTACTGGTGCTCTGACAGATTTTGGATTGACTCTGACTCGTTATTACAACAACATTGTCAATGACTACTTTGCCCAAGCACTCATCGATTACCTTCTTGGTCGCGCGACCGACACCATATTTTCCGAGTTTGAAGCGGACATGAAGAGTTCGGACCACTTTGTTGATCTGCGCAGAGTAAGACAGCAAGCCATCGAGCGCTCGGCAGGCATCGTCATTGAAGACCATGACGAGGATTTGGTCCAGGGCTGGACGTTGAGTGTACCCACTGCCGCAAACCAAGTGAAGACAACGACCTTCGAAGAGGCGATTCTTCTTCTCACAGAAAAGGCTCTGTACTTTTGCCGTCTGGACTGGGGTACAGAGAAGGTACGAGAGTTTGAGCGCATCCCGCTTGAAAACGTACAGGGCCTCATGCGTGGTGTTTACATCACGTCAACCCTAGCTCAGCGACACATGGACACCGACAAGAATGTGGGGCTCATCATCCGGTACCGACCAGACAGCCGCGGCAAGCTGGTACGCAGAAACACTAGAGTGCTGGATTCGGAGCCCGGTGACGATTCAGCTAAAGATGAGGCTCAAAAGGCTCCCAAACAAGATGATGCCAGTGGCCGATTCCTAGCGTTTAAAGCGTTACCAGCGCACAGTAGTGTTCCTGTTGCATCTGGCGATGCAGTCGAGGATGAGACCGAGATTGTCAAGTCGGTTTGCGATGAGATTGCGCGGGTCGCTAATGGTGTGCGCAGGGGAGAGGGTGAGGGGGATAGAAAGGTGGAGATTGAAGAGAAGGATATTATCAGCCTTGGGGACGCGAAGAAGAGTACCGGTTACCTGGAACAGTTTGAATATTCGTTGAAGAAGCTTGTTTGGGGATAATAAGTAGATGGATGCCGTGTATGTTTGGCACCATGTAATTTCCCAGGTGAAGACCTGGTCTAATAGACTATTCGTTTCCGCAAGACAATGTACCCATCATCTTCCGAGTCGGTCGTCCTGATTATCCTTACAGCCATCGGCATCGCCATAATCGAACAGTGTATCTTATTCGTCGTCGCTCCACTCAATATCTTCCATGCCGTCGTCAACGCCCTCGCCCTCTTCATGTTCGCCCTGTTCCTCGCTCGGAAACTGTACAAGGCCAAGCTTGAAAGTTTTAGATTCAAGGCCAGTAGGTTGAAGTGCCCAAAGCGCAGCCTCTACTTCCATGTTACGCGGCATCGATTGTGCGCTCCATTCGTTATTGGCCGACTCAAACCTTGCAGGTGGAATGTCAGTCCAAGAACAGCAAGGAAGACCCCACCTCTGACAATTTGTACAAACATTGGTGCCTGGTACCATCTTGCACCCCACCTCATAGCCATCCACCTCTGGGATGTGTGACGTAATCCAGCAAAATTCGCATTCAGTGCGGTAACCAGAAACACCCTTTTCTTCTCCCTGCTTCCCATCGAGACCGAACTTGACCATCTGTGCTTTGATGGCCGCACTAGATAGCTTCTCTGCAGACAAAATCCGAAGAGATGGATCGGGAGGACCGAAACTGATGGACGTATTGGACGCTCGGGTTCAGCGTGTGCGGGGCAGGGCCAATGGATCCACCATCTCGCTGAAGTTTGAACATGGGTCCAGCGCCTCGGAAGATATCGTTTGGCGTACCCGGTGGGAAGAAAAGCACGTTGCTCTGTAGACAGGCTATATGAGAATGTGTGTGGTGCCTCGAGTCGCTGTCACTCACTCACTGGTCTTGACTGTCACAGCGCTAGGGGATAGGTTGCTTGTTTCCCTGTGGCGGGTGTTGTAATCGCTTGACTCTTGCTTGCGACGGGTGGTTGAGCCTTGGATTACTGTGGTATCGCTGCTGATGTTGTCGCGATTGAGTACAGAGGTGGGGCTGTTGTTGTTGTTGTCTTGAGGAAATGTGAGATCCTCTTAGCTGGGAAAGAGCAAACGAAGTGAGAGTACGCCCGCGCACGCGCCCACGCGCGCAAGACAAACGATTGTTACTAGTGCATGATTCTGTGATTGATTTCATCTAAGTGAAAATGCGCTCTGCAGCTTATGTATGCCGGGGATTATACCAAGATTGCGACTTCTATCGACCACCTCTCAACTTCTGCCCTCTAGGTTGGCTAATCACTGACTGATGTTAAGAAAAGGTCGGAGTATCTGCTGCTTTGCATTCTTTTACATACCCGAGATCTTTAGTATCTAGCTCATGTTGGCTCTCAACTAGAATTAGTTGATCATATCTCACATTTGTTACATGTGAGGTGAAACGACCACGGGACCGACACAGCGGATGTACTACAGTTGTACGCTACAAGAGCAAGTGTGGAGAAGAAGAATGCGGGTGGCTTTGGCCTTGGGTTTCCGAGTAAGCTTTCGATCGGCAACACAATGACTTGGTTGGGCAATGCACCCGCTTTGCTTAATTACGCCTCATGTGCAAGGAACATGGGACGTCACGTTGTATGTGGAGCCGCGATAGACGGGTGAATACGGGTTGAGCAAAGCAACAACACTATGATGTGTAGTGGTTGAGTATCAGCCGGACATCGTGATGTTGCAGTGTAAAGCCATCTTCTTTCTTTTCCTCCTTTGTCCTCCTTTTCTTCTTCTTCTTCTCCGCAAGTCTTTCTCCTCACTAAGTGTGTGTGTGGTAGACTCCACTCTTGCACCGGAGCTATGTGCTGACTATCACCCAGTACCCAGTTTTCTGCATCTTGTCGGTATGCGCTAGAAACACGAGCACATGCAACATGCAACGCCCGCCTTGTTCATACATGATGGTGGGGATAGTATCGGGGGGAACCTAGCTTTTCACCAGTTATGGGGACAATGAAACGATCCGAACCGCAACCCAATGATGATACATGGCACAACGCAGAAGACTTGACCAAGCATACCACCCACCATAAATCCATACCACACCAGACAACGCCAGCCTCAAGCGTGCCTCGGCGCAAAGCTTGAGATGTGGATTCGACGGGAGGCGCTTCCAACGTCCAACGCCGACTGCAACATGGATCCACCCGTAAAAGCGGATCACAACCACTTAATTGGCTACACCTTGCTTATAACCGCAACCTACCGACGTCATCAGTGGAAACCTCATCACACATATCGCGCGAATTGGCAACCAGGCCCACTTTCGTTTTGCGCGCGAAGAAAAAAAAATCAGTACCGGATGGGGCGTGTGAGAGGAGAAAACTGTGGGTGTCTGGAGTCTGGAGAGATTATGGAGAGAAAGGGGGGAAGTTTTTTGCGGAGAGTGCGGAGGAGCCCAACATCGATACATACACGCGCGACCAAGGGAATTAAGTAACGAAATAGTAGTAGAATTACGGTACTGACCGAACACGCCATACGGTTACTGATCGATCGAAGCCCTGCTTTTTCTCTCATCATGCACAAGACGGACCTCTGATTCCCCCCTGCTTCCGCAACCCGTCGCCCGTCGCCAGCGGCCTCGGCATCAAGTCCCCCCCCCAACCAAGCCACGAGTCGCAACGACAAGCACTAAATCACCCCGGTCGTGTCAGGGCTTGACGTTTCTTCTTTGCGCCCCGCGAGATCCACGTTGTTGCTTGGCTTCTCCCCAATCACTGACTGGTTGTCCGGAGGCTATACCAAGCTTGGTAGCGCATCAGCAGGTACACACCTCAGTTCTGTCTGTGGGTGTGGGTGTGTCCCGACAAGGCCCCAACCAAGGCATTACCAATGCCGGGACAAGAGTCAAATGTCCGCCTTGCGGGGCTCCCACGTTGGCCTTTTCCGGGACCTGATTATTGCCCGCGTTTGTGGTTCCCAGTCTGGCGGGGTGTGGGCAGTTATGGGTATATAAGACTCGCCGTGCGCCCGTGTTAGTTTTGTTGGTTGTTTCTTCTTTCTACTGCGCTTGCTCGAGACGAATGTGACGGGGCAATCATGTATCAGATTGGGAACATCTATGGTATCACGGCTATTGCCGTTATTGGTGGTGGGTTGTTTGGGTTTGATATTAGTTCTATGAGCGCTATGTATGTTGATTGTTCCCTTTATTTCCACTGCTTGAAGACTGACGGAGATAGTTTACCGACTCAACAATACCGATGTTACTTTAATCAGGGACCGTTGGGTCCGCCTTTTACAGGGCCTGAGGATGCGTGCTCTGGACCTAAGGCTGATGTGCAGGGTGGTATCACCGCTGCGTAAGTGTTCATTACCACAACCAGTATATCATTCTAACACGACACAGTATGCCCGGTGGATCCTTCGTCGGTGCTCTCGTATCTGGATACCTAACTGATAAACTGGGTCGTCGTCGCGCGATCCAGATCGGCTGCCTCATCTGGATCATCGGATCCATAATTTCTTGTGCAGCCCAGAACATCGGCATGCTCATTGTCGGTCGCTTTATCAACGGGCTCTCTGTCGGTATCTGCTCTGCCCAAGTCCCTGTCTACATATCTGAACTAGCGCCTCCGTCCCGCCGTGGTCGTGTTGTCGGAAGCCAACAGGTAAGCCTTCACAACCCACAACACCACAACACATTTTGAGCATTTGCTAACCATGCAATCGTAAATCAGTGGAGTATTACGTGGGGTATTCTCCTGATGTTCTATATCTCCTACGGCTGCAGTTTCTTGGATGGACCGAAGGCCTTCCGTATCCCATGGGCCCTGCAGATGATCCCAGCCATTATCCTTGGTTTCGGCCTTGTATTTCTCCCCGAATCCCCCCGATGGCTTGCGCGCCATGACCGCTGGGAAGAGACTCAAGCTGTTCTTGTGCTGGTTCATGGAAAGGGTGATCCCAACAGCCCGTTTGTCAAGCTCGAAATGGATGAGATCCGCCAGGCGATTGAGTTCGAACGCCAGAACGCCGATGTCACTTTTATGGAGCTATTCAAGCCCAACATGATCAACCGTCTTCATATTGGTGTCTTTACCCAGATCTGGTCCCAACTCACTGGAATGAATGTCATGATGTGAGTACCTCAAGGGAACATCAAACCAACATCAAACCAACTGACAATGACACAGGTACTACATTACTTATTTGTTCGGTATGGCCGGGCTCAGCGGGAATGTTAACCTCGTTGCGAGCTCCATTCAATATGTCATCAACGTAATCATGACTGTACCGGCCCTCCTCTTCATGGACCGTTGGGGACGCCGCCCCATGTTCGTCATAGGCGCCACCCTCATGATGACCTGGATGTTCGCTAATGCCGGTCTTATGGCTTCTTACGGCAAGCCTGCACCCCCCGGTGGTCTCAATAACATTGCCGAGCAATCGTGGGAAATCGGCGGCGCCCCTTCGAAGGCCGTAATTGCCTGCACCTACCTCTTCGTAGCTTCCTACGCACCCACCTGGGGACCAGCATCATGGGTCTACCCCCCTGAGATCTTCCCGCTCCGTATCCGTGGCAAAGCCGTTGCGCTGTCGACCTCCGCAAACTGGATCTTCAACTTTGCCCTATCCTACTTCGTTCCCCCAGCCTTCGTCAACATCCAGTGGAAGGTGTATCTCATCTTTGGCTGCTTCTGCGCTGCAATGGCTATCCATACGTTTTTGCTTTTCCCAGAGACTGCTGGAAAAACGCTTGAAGATGTGGAGGAGATGTTTATGACGAGGATCCCTGCGTATAGGACGAGGGTTGAATACAGCTCTACGAGGAATGCCGAGAGGGGACGGTTCGGAGAGAAGGGAGCTGGGCTGGAGCAGAGTCCGGAGAGGATGGAGAATGCTGAGGTGAAGGTTTAAGGGGTGTGAGGGGATATTAGGATGTGAGAGATGTGAGAGGAGATCGATGATGGCGTTGTTCTATAGTCGAGATGGCCTTGTAGCTTTGATAATACCCAATCGCAATGTTTCGAGAAGTATTCGTTGCATCTGCATATTTTTTCTTCTCTCCCTCCAAAACTAAAAAGAAATCCCAGATATCGAAGACAATTCCAGTATCAAAGCCAATTTCTTTTCGAATTTCGAGACACCAGAGAGGTGTTTCCAAGCTTTAGCGCTGAAGAAGCATTCTCCAATTCTCCTTAACTAACCATTGTAATTCTCTGAGCTAAAAAAAATACTGTATCTAGCTACTTTAGATAAACCCTAGCAGCTAATGGAAATCATCAAGGTACGTTTCCCACGATGAACTGGAATATTGCTGCCTTGTGGGAACGACAGATATATAGGATGCCTAATAGAAAAAGGGAAATCACATGATGACCTGACACTAGATATATATTCTCCTTGAATAACAATACTAGTGCTAGGACAAGGCCAAATTACTCTAAACAGCCACTGTTACATCCGCATTCCAGAAACGGCTGCAACCCGTCATCCGGCAGCAACGGCAAGTGGATCCCACCCCCTCACCAGCCCAGGCCGGCACTCCCAAACCACGCAAGCGAAACCGCGCGCCCCCCGGCCGCCGCCCGTTGCATCAGCGGGCTTGCAGCCGCGCAACGCAATCCCCCTTCGCAAGCAGCACCACCATGTCTGCTTCGCGCGAGTCGAGCACGACTTCTGCCTCGTCGCCGAGCGAGGACGCGCCGAGCGTCGAAGCGCTATTTCTGATCCGCTTCGACAAGAAAGTCGGGTACGTCATTTTTGGACCTCAGATTCCCTTTTTTAAGCCGAGTACCTTAACTACATACCTGATGTGAGAGAGCTACCAGCAAACTAACACAACAGACGTACAGGTACACTGTGAGTTGGAAACGCACCGCGACGCCGGATATCGAGCTCGAGAATGCGGTGGAATATAAATCGTTGCCGTCGGGATTGCATTCTGTGCAGAGCGATCTCGTGTACTTTACGCATCAGGGATATGCTGGGCTGAGCGCGTTTGCGAAAGGCGAGGCGGGGGATGAGGAGCGCAATGCCAAGTTCATTTCTGTAGGGGTGCTGGTGAAGAAGGAGGGCGAGTTTGGGCGGTTAGGACGGGCGTGGTTGCTTGCGGGGCGGTTGGAGAAAATGGCTGCAGCGCTGGCCGAGGATGCGGACACGGTGGCGCCGTTGGAGGAGTTTTGGAGGGAGCAGGTTGAGAGGAGGGGGTATAGCAGTGAGGATGGGGATGGGGAGGGGAAAGGGTATAGTAGGGAACGCGCCATTTCGACGGTCAGCGCGGCGCTCAAGGATGAGGAGAGCTTGCCGGCGTATCATCCTGCGCTGTCTATCCAGCGGTTTCTGGATGTGTTTGGGCCATTGGTGTTTCGGTTGCAGCAGGCTGCGCTGTTGAGGAAGAGGATACTGTTTGTGGGCATTCCGCCTGTCAGGACGGCTTGCGAATTCGGTATGTTCTGCTGGCTATGCAGCGCATTGATTGAGCTTGATGCTAACAGGGACAGTGTACAATCTCTCCATCCTCTCAAGCATATCACCACGCGACACCGAGCTCCTCACGCCCGGCACGGAAGAGCTGTTGCGCCTGCCCTGCCTCTTCTCGGTCGGTGTACATGAAATCCCATACCTCGAAGACCTGAGCAAGCCAAAGCATGGCAGACATACTCCAGGTGACGAGACGTTGGCTGGATGGGTGGCATGCACGACGGATGAAATCATCACCACCAAGACCAAGCTGTACGACATCATCGTCGAGCTCCCACATACATACGATGCGCCACCGCAAGAAAGACGCTGGCCACGGATACGGACGAGCGACGGCAGTCTGGTCAAGGCTAGCCAACGGGATGTTTCACGCTACAAAATGCTGCATAGGGAGTTATACAAGCATCGTAACCGGTCACAGACAGCACCTGAATCGTATAGAGACGATGAAGACGACGACACGGCACCGCTACTGTCACACGACGAGGTGTTGGGCCAAGGCGCCGACGATGACTTCAACGAAGCATACGACGAGACAGTTGTTGAGCCAATGACTTGGTCACGGCTTGCATACATGGGCTACATGTGGTGGGCATCCGCGGGCGAGAGGGATGCATACGCAACTGCAGAGCACGAGGCGGATCGCGAGCTCATTGGCGACTTGGCCGAGTACTCTCAGTCGTTGGAAACAGCAATTATCGCATACTTTCACCGCCAGTCCTCGCTACTCATCCAGTCTCTGGCGCAAATCATCGAGGCCGACGAACAGGGCGAGCGCGACTGCGACGACGACGACGATGACGACGGCAAGGCACTGATTATAGACCAGGACGACCTGTCACGCATGGGACTCGATACCTGGTCAGAAGCGGACCGGGCGTTTGTGCAGGAGTTTGGCAGTCTCTACTTTGGACGCACTGTTGGGGTCAAGGGCAGCGAGATTGACTGCTGCGGGTTGAGGGTGCCTGTGTTCTAAGCAGGGATCAGGACCGGTGAAACAGACATACTGTGAGCTGAGGTGGTGTGTCTGTCTGTATGTATTTACATGGATGCGGGCGTTCTTTTTTGTAACCAGCGGCGTCTTTGGTGTCGAATTGGAGTCTGCGCTAGACGGCGTTCCTGAAATACCCGCTCGGCCTTGTCTTGATTTGCGTTCCCACACACACCCCGCAGGCCAAAGTGTTGAGCACGCTCTCTGCGGGCTCGTCTCTACATAGGCTGATATGCCTCCTTCGGCTGGCCATGCACACTGCAGTTCGTCTACGTCTTCTCTGTCCCGTGTAATATCCCTTTAGACGTCTCGTATGCAATTAATACATAACCTCGGATTGGCCGGCTGGCTGCCATCTTCGCCAGCCGAAGTCGGACCCCGCAATTGGAGAGCACAGGCCGCAAGCGATTTTCTGCGCCCCGCATCGTCATATGCCATTCACTGGACGGCTTAGGCGCGTTGAATCACCGAGCACCAGACTTTTTCTTTTTCCTTCTGGGATGTGATTCATACCACCGTACTTTTTTACTAATTAGTCCCAACTCTGTGCCGTCTGTCTCTTCATATATTCACCGTATACCCTCCTGACGTCTTCGTCTTCTCATCCGACTTTATACTAACACGACTTGCATTCATCGTCGCTTAGCGTGAGCCAGTTGACTTTGACTCAAGAAAAAAGAGCAATCCGCGCAACCACACTTCAACATGCCGATGCTTGCAGAGCCATGGAAAAAGTACCAGCCATTTAAGCCATTACATCTGCCGGACAGGACATGGCCTAACAAGACTATTGACAAGCCGCCGCGCTGGCTGTCGACCGATCTGCGAGATGGCAACCAGAGTCTAGTCGACCCCATGGTATGTCTGCATCCGCTGCACCTAACAGCATGCACTAACACGGGCCCCAGGACGGAGCGCAAAAATGGGACTACTTCCAGATGCTCGTCAAGCTTGGCTACAAGGAAATCGAAGTCTCGTTTCCCTCGGCGTCGCAAACTGACTTTGACTTTACACAACGCCTCATCCAGACGCCCGGCATAGTCCCCGACGATGTCGCCATACAGGTCCTCTCGCCCTGCCGCAAGGAGCTCATCCGCCGAACCGTCGACTCCCTCAAGGGCGCTCGCAACGCCATCCTCCACTTGTACCTTGCCACGAGCCCGTGCTTCCAGCAGATTGTCTTCGACATGAACAACGAGCAGACGATTGCTCTTGCCGTCGAGTGCACAAAGTACGCGCGATCGATTACAAAGGACGATCCTGAGCAGGCTGGCACCCACTGGTCGTATGAGTTTTCTCCAGAGACGTTTTCAGACTCGTCGCCAGAGTTTGTCATTGAAGTCTGCGAGGCGGTCAAGGCTGCATGGGAGCCGTCAGTCGAGAACCCAATCATCTTCAACCTGCCAGCTACGGTTGAAATGTCTACGCCTAACGTGTACGCCGACCAGATTGAGTATTTCTGTAAGAACATTAGCGAGAGGGAGAAGATCTGCGTGTCGCTGCACCCACACAACGACCGTGGTTGCGCTGTTGCGGCTGCGGAATTGGCCCAGATGGCAGGCGCAGACCGTGTAGAGGGCACGCTGTTTGGCAATGGAGAGCGTACTGGAAATGTCGACCTTGTCACTCTTGGCCTGAACCTGTACACGCAGGGAATCCACCCCAAGATTGACTTTTCCGACCTCAAGTCAGTCATTGACATGGTTGAGAGCTGTAACAAGATCCCAGTCCATCCTCGTGCGCCGTATGGTGGTCAGCTTGTCGTGTGCGCTTTTAGTGGCTCACATCAGGACGCTATCAAGAAGGGATTCCAAATGCGCAAGAAGAACGGCGCCACAAACGAGAGCCGATGGCAAATCCCATATCTCCCTCTGGACCCACAGGATATCGGCCGTACATACGAAGCTATCATCCGTGTCAACTCACAAAGTGGAAAGGGAGGTATTGCTTGGATCATCCAGCGCCAGCTCGAACTCGACCTCCCACGTGGTCTGCAAATTGCCTTTTCCAAGATTGTGCAAAAGGAGACGGATATGCTTGGCCGCGAGCTTTTGCCTAGTGAGATTACGGCTCTTTTCGAGGAGGCGTACCATCTCAAGCGCAACCCCCGCTTCTCTCTTGTCGACTACGAGATCAAGGCCGATCGCTCGGCGACTCCTCAACCGCCGCAAGAGGGTAGGACCGTCAGCACCCAGAACCTGCGCCGTATCTTTACCGGTGTTATCGAGATTGACGGTCAAGAACACAACATTTGCGGTTCGGGAAACGGTGCTCTGTCGTCGCTGGCTGATGCGCTGAGGAGTCTGGGTATCGATTTGGATGTTGTAGACTACAATGAGCATACGATTGGTACGAGCAAGGATGCCAAGGCAGCGACGTACATTGGATGTACTGCTGCCCAGAGCAGCCACAAGGTTTGGGGTGTAGGAATCCACCAGGATGTGGTTCAAGCGTCTCTGATCGCCATGTTGAGCGCTGCTTCTTCGGTGAGTCTAATAGTGGGGTTTGGGGACTGAGAGAGATGCTGACTGATTATAGTTCTTATCATCGAGACCAACAACACCTATTCCCTTCCGCCCTAAGCGATCGAATACTCTGGAGATTCCCACCCCAGGATCGAGCCCAACACATGGTTCAAAGAAAGAAAATGGCACTTCTGTTGTAGATAAGCTGGAGGCTGCAGTAAATGGCGAGCAGGCTGATGTTCAGAGCGCGGGTGTGTAAGCATATGACGTCGTTTGTGATTTGTTTATCATTCCCAGTTTGCATTTATCCATATCGCATGTGGTACGGGGTGTTTTATCCAAAAGACACGATCTGAGTGTCGAAAAGTGTGGTTTAGGTATCTAGAATATATCCATCATCTGGATCAGATCTGCTTCTTTGTATCCGTGTTGTATGCTTGTTCCCGATAAGAAAGTGAATCTACAATCAGTCACTGTGTAACCCCCCCTCCCGACATCGGATGCCAATGTACGGTTATTACCGGCTTTGAATCCCATACATACCCAATCCTGCATATCCAACCTAGTCCCATGTAACCACAGTCCATCGTATCAGTCTTTGTCTATCATCAATGTCAAACACCACAACCCGTATCCCCCTTCCCACCACCACCACCACCACCTAACAATGCCACCCTCCAACGACACACCCCCAACCCCTGCCTACTTCCCCACCTCCCCCTCGTCCCCCCTCCCTCCGCCCACGCCTTCCGTGTCCCCGCCGGCGCCCTC